GGGAAGGGAAGGGAAGGCGGGGGCCGCTCAGAGGTTTCCTCATTGGCGCTGCAAACGAAACTCCAAAGGCAGGGCGAGTATTGCAACACTAGTGTGGCGTACTGGTTTTAAAATGTTGGACTCTGGCTCTGCAGACCAGGGTTCAAATCCCAGCTCGGCTATGGAAACCCACTGGGAGACCTTAGGCAGCCAGTCACAGCTCTCAGCCTCAGGGGATGGCCATGGCGAACCTCCTCTGAACAAGTCTTGCCAAGAGAAACTCATAATGGGCTTTAGGAGTCAACGTACGTCAGAAATGACTTGAAGACACATGCAGCAACAACGTTGCCCAAACACTGCTTTTTTCTCCTGTCTCCGCAGCCCCAGAAGACGTCGCCGCAGCCGGTCCCGGAGCAGAAGCCGGTCCCGGTCCCGCAGCCGGTCACGCTACAGCCGATCCAAGTCCAGGTCTCGCACGCGGTCCCGCTCTCGCTCCACTTCCAAGTCCAGATCGGCCAGGAGGTCCAAGTCCAAGTCATCCTCTGTCTCCAGATCTCGGTCCCGGTCAAGATCTCGGTCCAGATCAAGAAGCCCCCCGCCCGTCTCAAAGAGGGAGTCCAAGTCGAGGTCCCCTTCGAAGAGCCCACCCAAGTCTCCTGAAGAGGAAGGAGCCGTTTCCTCTTAGGACAATGGTAAGGTCTCTAGTGTGTTACTGCAGCTGCATGGTGTTTTTTGGTAGCACTTCAGCGGTATTGGATCCTTCACAGGGCGTTTTAGAACAAATAAATGCTAGCGGGGCTTGTTCATTTCTGAGGAGGGTGTGTAGTTTGTAGCTAATAAAGGATTCTTTGTGCTTTGTTGCTATTAATAGCTTGCTTTTTAATATCTATTGTTTTGAGACGCGACCTATTTCTGAAAATGACTATTTCTTACTGTTCTTACCCAACATCTGCATTTTCCCCTTTAAAGCTGCGGTCTCCTGTTTGCTTAAAGAATATTGGCCAGTATTGCAGATTTTAACTGATTTGGCTGATCCTCCAGGGACCAGTTTCTGTGGGCGTGTATTGGAGCAGGTTTGTCTTTAAATGTTAAAGATACACTATCCTGTTAATGAACAGTCAGTCCTGTGGTTACAGAGTTTGACAGCCACAAATGTTTTTAGAAACAAAAGTTGAAAAACAAGGTTTTACAGAAGCCGGGTTGTTCTACAGTGCAATTGTGGGCTTATAAGGATGTGCTGGGTGGGGAAAATGGATAGTGTGTCTTTAACCTCCCTAAAGTTTTTGGTCCTGTTTTTTCAAAGGGGGCCTAGAAGTGTTATGGAAATGCAACTGTTTAATGACTCTTCAAGGTTTTGAATAAGAACTAATCCATAATTTAACAGAATCAGGCTGGTTTCATATTAAGGGTGGTTTAAGCGTTGCCCAACACCATATGCTGTGGTTAGTGGAGAATCCACAGTATCTCCAAAACTCTCAAGTCAACGATTAGTTTCTGGTGGGAGGTGGATACTTTATATTCCTATGCGTCAAGACAAGGCCACTACTACTGGGAAACTGAGATGATCCGTAAAATGTAGAAGGCGTAAGAGGGTTTCCTTGCTGAATTCTTCGTTTTTCAAACCTAGATACAGCAAATAGATGAGAAATCTACATAAAGGATGCCTTTGGAGAAGAACTGATCATACGAATCGCCAGTCCATGGGAAAGACCCCAGCACAAGCAACCAGCTGTTGAAAAAGGTTATTTTGTAACACTTTGTCTAACTTTTTATTTTACTTTTGAGCCTCAAATGGCAGACTATTACTTTTATGTGCCATTTTGTTGCTATTATTCAAATTTCTTGTAATTTAGTGATGTGAACGTCTACAGATTTCATTATTGGCTTGGATATTTGAGGTAAAAACTTCATTTTTGTTCATACAGTGTTGACTTGTTTGCAAATTAAACTGGTAACTAACTTGCTGCCTCAAGGTTAATATTAAAGCTGCTGAGTAGCTTAATGCTGTCCAAATCTTCAAATTTTGCCTTTATTCTCCTGTTCTGAAATTTTAAATTCCAAAGCGTTTCCAAAAACTTCAGGTGAAAGAATATCTTCAAGTCAAACAGTAAACTTTGCAGCTGACGATTATTTTGAAAGATTTGTTTTTAATCAGACAAAATTCTAATCTCTTCTCTTATGTATTTTTGTGCACTAGGCGCAGTTGTGTAGCAGTTGAGTAATGCTGGTTAGCTGTTAAGGTGGCGTGTTGCAGTGCAGAGTGCTTGGCTGTTTCCTGTTTTCTCCTGATTGCTCCTGTAACGATGCCTTGTCGTGCAGAAACAAATGGCTGTCCAGTTAATTATAATTGCCTGACAACTGCACTTCCAGTCACCCGGGCCTTGCATAAAAATAACGGAGCATACAGTGAGCACATCTAGCTGGTGATATACACACCTTATTTTTCCAGAATGGTAAATTAGACCATCTACATATGTGAACATGCATATAAAAATGTAATGTTAAAGCATTTAATTCATTCCTCTCAGTATAAATTTGGAGTAACTCTTAAAACATTCTGTACTATAACCACTGTCTGTAGTTCAATAAAAACACTCTCTTGGTGTTGAGTTTTTTTGAAATCTAATGTTCTGAGTCAGTTTTGTGTGTTCTCCTGAGCCTTCAGGTTGTTTCTGACTTACGACCCTAAGGTGAACATGAGAAAGCTTTTTCTTTTTTTCAGAAGTGGTTTGCCTTTGTTTTTTCTCCAAGGCTGATAAGAGTGTAAATTGCCTGAGTTTCCTAGGGATTTGAAACCAATCTCCAGCGTCCTCCAACTCAAACTACACTCTGGGGGATTGCAGACTGCAAGAAATAGTGCAAATTGAGTCCACTTTTAGGGTTAGGGTTAGTGCTAGGGAATCATGGGAGCAGTAGTTTATTGTGGCACAAGAGCTCTCTGACAGAGAAGGCTCAATTTCTCAGGGGAAAAACAATTCCCATGATTCCCTAGCACTAACCCTAAAAGTGGACTCAATTTGCACTATTTCTGGCAGTCTGCAACCCCCTTCTGTCTTGTATATTACGATGGGGGGAAATGTGATATGTCAGGAAAAATGTAATACATATGAATTTCATGAGGCTGCTAA